TTTTGGGATAAGAAATATTATCAGAGTTAAGGAGGGGCACTGGCACTAATGATAAAAGGGTCAACTCATTAGGAAGATTTAACAATCTCAATGTGTATGTACCTAATAACAGAGCTTCAAAAATGACAAAGTTGAAAGGAGAAATATGTAAAATTATAATTATAGTTGGAGATTTCAATACATCTTTCTCATCATTTAATAAAAAAAGAAAATAAGTAAGTATATAATATACGTATATATTATAGAGTACATATACATATATAGATGGTATAGAATATCTACCTAATAATTGTAGAGTACACATTATTTTTTCAAATGCATATTCACCATAATTATATACTGTATGGTGATCCTAGGTCTATACCACAAAATAAGGTTCAAATCATTTCAAAGGTTTGAAACCATATACACTATAGTCTCTGACTACAACAGAATCAATTTAGAAATCAACTATAAAAATTCATCCTGGGATCATCCCTCATAATCATCTTGGGCATTCCCTTTGCCTCTCTCCTTTATTGAAATCTCTTGTTTCCTGGATCTATGTCTTCCTATTCCTTGGTTTACTTTATCCTTTTAATGCAACACCTTCTCCAAAAGTTCTGTGCTAAATATCTTTTCATTGCCCCCACTGAGCCACCCTCTATCCTCTTTTACCTTGCTCTGTGCACTAAGAGGTTGATCTACATGGATGACATCAGTAGACCTCTGCTGTCCTCTGACCTCTGGCAGAGTTGGACAACAAGTGTTAGTAGGAGATTGCAAGGGAAAAGGACAGTGAAGCTGGGATATATATATTTCCTCAGCTTTTTTTTCTGTCAAATCACTAAGAACAAACTGTGTCCCTTGATTGAAGGTCACAGCTCCTACAAGGTAGACTTATTCATGCAGACTGTATCTGGGTAGGGGTCACAGCTCTCTCTCTATTCCCACTTGGGCCAGGGGTTAGTAATGATCTGCTGTTTCTAATCCTTTACTTCATTCCTTCCTGGGGGTTCCCTGCAATCTGATAACGCTTCTGTAAGTAGCCCCTTTTAAAAAATTCTTGTAGTACTTAGTTTGAGTTAGTGGTTTTCCAGTCAGGATTCTTTCTATTGAAGGTAAATTTTTTGACAACTTGCTTGTCTCAAAATATATTCATTCTATCTTAATTGCAGGAAACAAACTGAGTGTTGTTGGAGTGGGGGGTGGGGTGGGAG